GGTTCGGGGGGCTCAGGGGGAAGTGGGGGGCTCGGGGTGGTGGGATCTGGGGTTCAGGGGGAAGTGGGGGGCTTGGAATCTGCTGGGGGGAGGGGGCAGTGGGATCTGGGGGTTCGGGGGGTTCAGGGGGAAGTGGGGGGCTCGGGATCTGCTGGGGGGAGAGGAGGGCAGGTGTCTCCCCTGCCAGACTCAGACAAACGATGAACTGACCAGACACGAATCACAGACACGACATAAAAACCACCCTGGGGGGGGGGAGCATCTGGGAGGGGCATTTGTCCCCCCCACTCCTGACTCAGTGTCTTTGTGTTTCACGCCCTCGGTTCCGATCCTGGGGGATCCCTGTAGGGCAGGGGGGGCTGGAGCAGCATTGGGGGACCCCCCAAATTTCCCCATTGTCTCAGCAGCCGGGGTCCCTTCTGCAGTCAGGCGTGTCCAGGAGCAGCACCAGGGGCCCCCCTCTTTCCTGCTGTGTCGGGATGGGGGCTCCCCCAGTCCTGGAAAAGTGGGGGGCCCCACGGTCTCCATGCACCCCTGTGTCCTCCGATGGTGGCGATGTGGGGGAGGCAGGATCACCCCCAAATCCTGGCACATGGGGGAGAAACCAAGTCTCCAGGCCTTGTCCCGCAGCGGGGGGAGCCGGGGGGCCCCGCCCCGCTCAGACGGTGGTGACGGACAGCAGCGGGTTGTAGACCCGGTGCCCGTCGGCCGAGCGGGCGCCGTGCGCCAGCATCTCCTGGATCGTGATCCAATTGTCCAGGATGCGCCGGCTCCGCTTCTTGAGGCTCTTGCGGTGGCTGAGCGCCAGGATGCTGAGCTGGTCGGGGGCCCCCGGGGCCCCCCCCGCCTCCCGCTGCCAGTCCAGCCGGCTCTGCAACATGAGCTCCCGGCGCCGGCGCTGCTCCCGGGCCCGCAGCAGCTGCTGCTTGCGCTCCTCCTTGCTCCAGTACCGGCCCATCTTCATCTCGCTGACGGCGTCGTCGTCCGTGGTCATGCCGCTCCGCTCCTCCCGGATCTTCAGCGCCCGCGCCTTGAGCAGCCGGTCCCGGCCCGGGCGCCGGGTGCCCTCGCCCCGCGCCTTCCCCTTCCACTCCGCCCGGGCTCCGCCCGCCAGCCCGCCGGGCGCCGGGCTCTCGTCCCGCGCCCGGCGCGCCAGCCCGGGGCTGCCCTCCCGGGGGCGCCGGAGCCGGCCCGGCTTGGGCGGGGGG